AAAAAAAAAAAAAAAAAAAAAGATGATGGGAGCCCCTATCCATCTGATCTACAGTAAATCTCCAAACCAAACTGAGGCTTTGAGCCCAATCTTACCTATCAGACGGAACCCTAACCATGATGTGATGTGTATAACAGTGATGTGATGTGCGTCAGCTGGAAGATGGGTCCAGCACCCCTATGCAGTGGTGTGTAGCTATGTCCTACCTTCAGAAGCGGTCTGTATATGTACAGCAATACATATGAATCAACATCCAACCGGTGTATCTTCACTCATCGATTAATACAGGCCCCCTGAAGGGAAAACTTAACACTGATATGAAGCGAAACCCCAGAGCTGATGTACTCTATGTGAAGGAGCAGAGGCATTGATTACTTCCCAGCTCAGGGGAAGGATTGACCTCCTGCTCATACAGCATATATGTCCTATACAATGATGTGTGTAGTTCTCAATTTGCGCATATACTCACCAGCGATAACAAGCATAATCCTCAACAATCCATTCATGATTAAGAGTTGAGGGTCAGACTGGTAAGAGGCAATCAACCCTAATCATCGCAAGATCATCTATCCTATCCCCACCCGGTGCCAGAGAAAAAGAGACAATTGAACATGGAAAAACACTAAGGGTGGGGGGGAACAGTACCAAACCGTACCTTCAACCTCAAGCCCCACTTCGCCATCCGCAACAAGCTACGAGATCCCCTCCACTGCCCTGGTGACGGCATCTGTCCCATGATGCTGATAGAGATCAAGGCTGCAGAAGCACCACTCTCTGCCCCGCTACCTCCGTGGCTGTCACTTCCTCCATCTTCGTTGCTATTGTTATTCTTCTTGTTATTGTTGTTATTGATATGGCTGTCGCTGTTGTTGTCTGTGTCGTCCTTCTCCGCCACCACACCCTTTTCCCCCAATCCCTGCTCACCGTCATTTTTATTGTTACTGTTGTTGTTGTTGTTATTGTTATTGTTGTTGTTGTTATTGTTATTGTTGTTGTTGTTGTTGTTGTTGTTGTTGTTGTTGTTGTCGTTGTCGTTGTTGTTGTTGTTGTTGCTGTCGTTGTTGTTGTTGTTGTTGTTGTCAACATCCTCACCCATCTCTACCATCTCGTTGTTGTTGTTGTCAATGTTCTCTCCCCTCTTCTCCATCGCGTTGGTGTCGCCGTTGTTGTTGTTGTTGTTGTTGTTGTTGTTGTTGTTATCCTCCTTCACGCTTATCCCACCCAGTTCGCCCATTCGCCGCTCGCCGCCGTTGTTAAAGTTACTATTGTTATTATTGTCATTGTTGTTGTCAACCGTCCCACCCGTCTCGCCAATCACGCCCATTCCTTGCCTCCCTTCTTCCGACCCCTGCTCCACCTCCATTATCATTGTTGCTGGAGTTGTTGTTGTTACTGTTGCCGTCGCCGCTGCCGCTGCAGCCATTTCCACCATTGCCAATAGTCCCCACTCCCCTTCCCACTCAGCCACGTCATCAGTTGCATAATCCCCCTCTCCACGACCATCTACACACTCATCCCCAACCTCCCACTCACCAGCGTCATCAGCGGCATATTCCCTCTCTCCATCCCCAACTGCACTCTCTTCCTCAGCCTCGTTAGAGAGTGCCATCAGGTTAACCCACCTTTTTTCTCCCCCCCCTTCATACTCGTCGCACTCACTCACAGCAACAGCACAACTCGCCCCTCTTCCAGAATCCCAGATCTCACCTATAGCGCAGATATTTGTATAATAGCGAAGAACATCGCAATCATCATCTTGCTCACCTTCAGAATCTTCTGTAAGCGAGACTTTGTCTTCATTATGGTAGAGCTTATCCTGTAGTCGAAGTGCTTCACGCTGTAGCTCCTCTTCCATCTCCATTCCTCGTGCTTCGCGATCATCGTTTTGCTCACCTTCAGACTTCTGTAAGCGAGACTTCGTCTTCATTATAAAACAGCTGATCCTGTAGTCGAACTGCTTCACGTTGTAGCTCCCCTTCCATCTCCATCCCTCGCCCGGAGTGCTGCGCCACGTATTGCAATTCATCGTCGATCTTCACTCCTGGCGCTACCCCTGCCCACCTGTCGCGGACGTTCACATCCCTACAGCAGATGCTACGTGGCAATCAAAGAGCCACGTGCTTCTGCCGGGCGCGCGCACAGGCCTAGCAGTCCCCAGGCGCTAGTTGAGCCAGGAGGAACCGGGCCTACCGGTCCGCCGGCGTCAGGGTGCTAGCGCTAGCGCTAAATCGTCATTCCCTACTGTCTTATTATTGCTGTATCTAGACTCAATGTTGCCTCAAATACAGCTATATTAACGGTACATTGTATTCGGGTGAAGACGGTAGTGGTGGCAGATAAAGGCAAGGGGTTGACGGAAGCAGGGAATTGGATGCTTTTGTGGGAGCAAGGGAGGGCTGTGGGTCTGTCCGAAGTTAGGGCTGAGGAGGAGTGCTCATGATCATTGATCAGGACAGTCGTTTCTGGTGGAGGCAACGAGAGGGCAGGGGGAGAAGAAGGAGGGGGGGGAGAAATCTCTATATCTGCCTCATCATGCTTGAGCAGCCTCGCAATAGGTAGCAGTTATCCAAAAAAAAAAAAAGAAAAAAAAAAAAAAAAAAAGAACATTATCACATCCGGAGTATCATCATCATCATTCATCTTTTCAGACGGAGGGCCTCGTTTGACACTCCTCGGGCCGTCCTCGGGGCCCGAGGAAATTTTCTTTTCGTCACCCGAGGAAATTCCCGCCGTCGTTCCACTCATCCTCGGAATGGTCCCCCAAGGACGATTCCTCGAGGGCTCCCGCGGCCAGTTTCATATATCGANAAAAAAAAAAAAAAAGATATCAATCCACGCTTGCACTGGATGGTTCCTGACCATGATGGTTGTCACCACTTGTCTCATCCCTCCCTTTTTTTTTTTTCTTTTTCTTTTCCTTTTCCTTTTCCTTTTCCTTTTCGACATTTCACAGAAACAGGCCAAAAAGAAAGAAAGAAAGAAAGAAAGAAAGAAACAGGCCCCAGTGCCCAAGCCTTTCATTCGGAATTGTGTCCCATAATTCCATCCTTCCGTGGGAGAACTTTGGGGCTCCTTCGAGAACTCCTCGGGCCGTCCTCGGGGCCCGAGGAAATTCTCCCATTGCCGCCCAAGGAAATCCGCGCCGTCGTTCCACTCATCCTCGGAATTGTTCCCCGAGGACGATTCCTCAGGGGCTTCCGCGGCCAGTTTCATATATCCACAAGCGGACGAGGAGGAGGGGGCGAGGGTTGTCCAGCGAGCTGTATCCGTGCCGACGTCGTTGGTCCAGTTCGGGTGGGCATCGCAAAATCGAAAGTCGGCGGCCTTCAAAAAAATGAGGGCATTGGAAAAGGCGCGCAGTCCTAGATTCGAATTTCAAAATTCGAATTTGGGCAGGCAAGTGATGGCGCGCCGTGGGCGTCCCTCGCAGCTGACGGCAACAACGTTCCTTGGCGGAAGCGTTTGGGTACGGGGTGGCGGCTGCGTGTTGGTGGGCACGGCGAACATACATGTAGACATCCGAAGCAGCAGACACGCCATCACATGATCGCCATCGTTGTCGTCTTCGCAGGCGCACCTTCGTCATCGACGTCTACGCCGTGTACTCCGGTTGTCACTCGCGCCATCGCTGTACTATGCCCCGGTGCTGGTGGAGTGTCGTGTAGTTCGCGACATCCATGTCGACAGAAGCAGTATCGGCGATGGACATGAACGGGGAGTCGGGCCGTGACATACTGAGCACGGTGGAGAGGACGGCGGTGGTAGCGGCCGTAAACGTCATCCTTTTCCGGTGTCAGATGGAGAGGAGCGAGGGGAGGATGAGAGCTGCGGTTCGCGCACGGCGGAAGAAGACGCTGCAGTCCATGAATGTGGAGGGCTTGGACAGTGCTGCCATTTGCGACGCCGTGCTGCAGGTGTGCTACGCCATGGGGTGCGAAGCTTTTCCCATAGCGACGCCTAGGTGGTGGATGAAGCGACGGACAGGGGGGACGTGGGAGGATTTGCGGCAATGCGACGACACAATGGCCGGCTACTTCAGGGAGAACCTACGCATGTCGCCACATGTGTTCCGAGAGATCGCGGAAGCTCTGTCTCCATTCCTACAATGACGTGTCACTTTCTATAGAGAGCCGTTACAACCTGACCACATTGTCGCGTACACTTTGTACAGTTGGGCGTCAGGGGAGACGTATGAGAGCGGGACATGCAGCTTCGACATTGGCAGATCATCTAGGTTGGTGGTTGTGTGGGACGTGACTGCGACGTTGTTGAGTGCGTACCCCGACAAGACATCGTGGCCGACGGGGTTGCAGAAGGCGGTCGTCTTGCGCGCTTTCGCTGACAAGGGTTTCCCGAACTGCCATGGGTGCATCGATTGCACCCACATCTACATCAACAAACCCGCGAATGCCCCTGGGGAGGACTACTACGATAGAAAACGTCGTTTCTCAGTCCAGGCGCAGGTGGTCGTTGTCATGAAATGGCTGCCCTCCGATCTACTGTCGTTAGGTTGTGGTTCGTCTGCGGCGAAAGGCCACGTGTCCTTGAAGGGGTCAACATCCGCATTGGCATTGTTTGTCAGTGGACTTGTTTTGTGCATTGGGGGAGTTAATGGCGCGAAAGTTGTTTCGCTGCGGGGTGGCGTGCACGAGGCGGCGCGTGTGGCCAATTACCTTCGCTGTTGTTTTGCTATGTGCGGTCATGAGGAGAGTGTTGTCGGCGCGGGTGGATGGCGATAGTGCAGTCCGACGTGTCCTCGGCGGGGGCCACGTCACGAGCGTGTGCGTGGCGATCATAGTTTAGTTGTAGTACGCTGTCACTGCGGGTGAGGTGTTAAGGTCAAGGAGTCCATTTCGGAGGTGTGTGTTATGTTATCCGGAAGTTGGGATTTAACAAGCCATGACGACCCTTTTTTTTTCGAACTCTGTTGTCTTCTTCTTTTCCAACGAGTGACAACAAATTCGCAACATCTCGTGTCATTCATTTTTGTTCTGTGTCTTCTCTTCTTCTTTTACGCCGATTGAAAAAAAAAAAGATTTGCACGACATCGTGTGTCTCATTTGTATTGTCGTGTGTCCATCTTACATTTGCAATGTGTTCATTGTTTGTTTCCTGAACCCTGCTATGAACATCCCTGACGTTGTTATCATGCCATCGCTTACCACATTCACAAACCTGCTATAACATTTCGCATGTACAATGAAACGAAAAAGAACAAGCAGCGCAAAGTTGTACACATCATTAACATCATTGAACAATTACATGTTCGCTTTAACAACTGCGAACATCGATCATCCATGTCTCCATAAAAAAAAACGTTAGGAAACATGACATACCTCTACGCTACGTGACACTCGCAGCCTAGGCCGCGTGCAATTCGGCCGCCGCGGCCGAAAAAGTCAGCCGCGGCTGCGGCCAATGAGGCCCTGTCCGCAGCCTGTTTTTAAATATTTTTTTTTTACCCCTAAAAATACGTAATATGTATATAAACTCCGACGAAACAGTTTGTCACAGCCCCTCGTTTGTTGTCCTCTTCTCCCTCTCTGCCTACGGTTTACCGGGCAGTTCTATTTGACGATATATAGGGTTGTAGGGCTTGGAAAACCCTCCAATCCGATATTTTTTATTATGGAATCCGACTTTGTTTAAGATTTTTCAAAAATAAAAAACGAAAATCGATTTAAACAAATTATTAAAAAATAAATAAAAAGAAAAGCAGGAATTTTTTTTGGTCATTTTTTATAATGAGGGACATGGTCGCTGAGTTGTCCTGTATTTTTTTAGAAATGTTTTTCCGGTTTGTGTCAGGAAATTGGGTGTTTCAAAAAAATTCAGATGCAAAAATTGAAAACAAATGAAGAAAAAATGGGGTCAGGCTGGGGTTGGTGTGTGTGTGTGTGTGTGTGTGTGTGTGTGTGTGTGTGTGTGTGTGTGTGTGTATTTGTGTGTGTGTGTTGGTATGTGTGTG